GTTCTAACAGCGCATGTAACACCTGTAAAAAAAGCAATTAATTTAAATTATAGGGTTTACTTGGGGGAGATGATGAAGTCAGATATTGATTATACCTGTCGATGGGCACAAAATAACAGCACTCATCACAAGAGTTCAAACATCATTTTAATTGTTTATCTGACCTGTTGTTGGAGGACATGTGGTTTCTAAAGGTGAAAAAACAAGAGTTTTTTGTTACAAGTGTGGCGAGAGCACTCTAATACTTACCTTCAGTTTGACAAATCTGCCTCCCACTAACAGTGACTGCACGATATCCAGTATCACATTCACACTGAGGAGTTGTTCCAGTCCAGCTACTACTAGAGCTACACCTGACACTCAGACTAAAGCCAGTTCTGGCATGAGCATTGTCAGCACACTGTGTAGTGACAGCCACTGATCCACTGGCTGGAGCTTGTGTAGTAGGATAGTCAACTAGACCAACATTTCTAGCTGGGCATGTATTAAGACCTGCAGAAAACAGAGCAAATCACTTGAAAGATGGTAGCTACTAAAAACCTTACTTTGACAAGTCTGCCTCCCACTGACAGTGACTGCACGATATCCAGTATCACATTCACACTGAGGAGTTGTACCAGTCCAGCTACCACTAGAGCTACACCTGACATTCAGACTAAAGCCAGTTCTGACGTGAGCATTGTCAGCACACTGTGTAGCGACAGTCACTGATCCACTGACTGGAGCTAGTGTAGTAGGATAGTCAACTAGACCAACACTTCTAGCTGGGCATGTATTAACACCTGTAGAAAACAGAGTGAATCATGTGAAAGATGGTAGCCACTAAAATGCTTACTTTGACAAATCTGCCTCCCACTAAGAGTGACTGCACGATATCCAGTATCACATTCACACTGAGGAGTTGTACCAGACCAGCCACCACTAGAGCTACACCTGACATTCAGACTAAAGCCAGTTCTGATGTGTGCATTGTCAGCACACTGTGTAGCGACAGTCACTGATCCACTGGCTGGAGCTAGTGTAGTAGGATAGCGAACTAGACCAACAGTTCTAACAGCGCATGTAACACCTGTAAAAAAAGCAATTAATTTAAATTATAGGGTTTACTTGGGGGAGATGATGAAGTCAGATATTGATTATACCTGTCGATGGGCACAAAATAACAGCACTCATCACAAGAGTTCAAACATCATTTTAATTGTTTATCTGACCTGTTGTTGGAGGACATGTGGTTTCTAAAGGTGAAAAAACAAGAGTTTTTTGTTACAAGTGTGGCGAGAGCACTCTAATACTTACCTTCAGTTTGACAAATCTGCCTCCCACTAACAGTGACTGCACGATATCCAGTATCACATTCACACTGAGGAGTTGTTCCAGTCCAGCTACTACTAGAGCTACACCTGACACTCAGACTAAAGCCAGTTCTGACGTGTGCATTGTCAGCACACTGTGTAGTGACAGCCACTGATCCACTGGCTGGAGCTTGTGTAGTAGGATAGTCAACTAGACCAACATTTCTAGCTGGGCATGTATTAAGACCTGCAGAAAACAGAGCAAATCACTTGTAAAGATGGTAGCTACTAAAAACCTTACTTTGACATGTCTGCCTCCCACTGACAGTGACTGCACGATATCCAGTATCACATTCACACTGAGGAGTTGTACCAGTCCAGCTACCAGTAGAGCTACACCTGACACTCAGACTAAAGCCAGTTCTGACGTGAGCATTGTCAGCACATTGTGTAGTGACAGTCACTGGTCCACTTGTAGAGGCAAGTGTGGCAGGATATCGCACTAGACCCACACTTTGTGCTGGGCACACAATAAAAACAGACAAAAGCAAACTTCAACTCTGAAATAAGTTTCTGTATATTATAGCACATACCTAGGCAATTGGTTGTTGCTGGAAGTAAGGACAAATACATCTTGAATGCGGAGTTTCATATTATAGATGTACTTACGGCATGAATCGCCGTCAATTATGAGTGGAGAAGTTGAAGACTGAGGCCCGAAACCAACACTGTTCCCAGCTGCAACCTGCAAATACACCGATAAGCGCATGACACTCACAAAGAAAAAGGATGGAAAGGACATGATGCTGGTCTTTATAGGTAGGACAAGCTACCTGCTAAAGGCCAATATACATGGCAAAACTTTGTTGTGGTAGGGTAGCAGTAGAAAAGCAGAAGACTTACTGTTACTCTGAACTTTCCGGAGGTCCAGGGGATATCAGATGATTGGATGATGTAGAAGGTCTGATCATTAGTGGTGGTGACAGTGCTCGTAGTGGAGGTCCCTGACCTACTGAACACCAGTCTGTAGCCCGTGATGACTCCATTTGGCTCCTCTGGGGGGTTCCATACCACATAGGGATACGTCCCCTGAACTCCATTCACCACTCCTGGACCTTGAGGAAACCAGAATAGAGTCATAAATAAGGGGGTTAAAATGGGAGGAATGTGTGTGTATTGGTTATGTAAGATATCTAATCTGCACCCTTTTTCCCAGGCCCGCGCATACGTGGGCCTGCGCGCGGTGAGGTCACGTGGAGAAAGAGAGGGTGTGTGTGCTAGACTAACACTTAATGTTGTATACTTACGAGCTTCTGACGTTGTAGTGCACTCCCCTTCAGTCCTGAGGTGTTCTCCATCAGGGTCCTGGTCACTGACTCCATTGTGGGATGTCACTCTGACACAGTACTGAGTGTGTGGTCTTAGGCCAGAGATTGTCCTACTGGTGGTACTTCCACTGAGGAATACTGTCCCAGTGAACGACCCCAGGTTGTCTGGGTCACTTATTTCCACCTGATAGTAGAGATCTCTCCTCCCACCAAGGTCTGCTGGTGCTGACCATCTGACAGTTATACTGCTCTGTTGGGGACTCAGTGAAAGGCTGCCTGGAGCACTGGGAGGTTCTGCACAGAGGGAAAATAGCCAAACATTATAATAAGCGAGTATGACATGTTCTGTTGTATACTTACGTGTACATTTTTCACTTGGAAGTTCATTGGCTGGAAGAGTGAGGAAGCGCTGTGCTCCTAGTGCAGTCATTCTGTTCACGTTGTTTCTATCGTAGT